GATAGCCAATTTCATAAAGTCCGAAATACAAGATCAACATCTCCGACTATGGTACTACAAAAATGTAAATCCCAAAGTAAGGTACGAATTTGCTCAATAACACCACAACATGAAATTTGGACTTAACAAATAAAAAGTATGATACTATGATATTGATTGATCAAAGTATGGTACGACATTGCTCAAAAATACCAAAACAAGGCACTGCGATATAAAAATATGAGCCTGTGTTCTTAAAAAATATGGTACGAAATTACAAAAAATCAAAACATGAAACTGCGAAACTACGAAGTATCAAATATGATACTATGATATGAAAGTATTAAATTATGCTACGAAATTGCTTAAAAATATTAAAAATGGCGATACAAAGTCAAATACGTCAAAATATGCGACTAGGATACGAAAAGTCGTTTTGAAATAGTTTAAATAGACAAAATATAGGACTTCGTTACTCAAAATGTCGAAATACGATTTTGATAAGTAAACATTTTCAAAGTATGCTATGAATTTGCTGAAAGATGGAACTCCAAAACCCAAAATATCTAAATATGACACTATGATATGATAAGTAACAAAGTATCGTTTAAATTTGCTCAAACCGACCAAAACATGGTACTACACAGCTCAAAAATATCAAACTATGATACGATGATATAATTAGTATTTCAGCATGGTACGAAATTGCATACAAATTCCAAAACATGAAAATACAAAACGCAAATATGTCAAAGTATGCTACGAGGATATGGAATATATCAAGGTATGGTTTTGAAGTTGCTTTAATAGACCAAAATATGGAACTACAATTCTCAAATACATCAAATATGACACGAAGATATGGTTAGTAACAAGATGTGGTATGACACGCTCAGGGAAATCAAAATATGGTAAGTCAATGCACGAAAACATCAAAATATGACACGATGATGTAATTAGTAGTTTAGTATGGTACGAAATTGCATAAAATACGAAAACATGAAGATACAAAACGCAAATATGAAAAAAAGCTTCTAGGATGTGAAAGGTATCAAGTTAATGGTTTTGAATTTGCTTAAATAGCCAAAAATATGGAGCTAGAATTCTCAAAAATATCTAAATATGAAACTATAATATGGTTAGTAACAAGGTATGGTACGGATGCACAACCAAGTCGTACTCCGCAAAGAAAAAGCCTTATTGAGCTGTTCTCTGCGATAAATGAGGAATCTTTACTGCTGTTCGCAGCGAGGCATGTCTTTATAGATCGCAAAGCGCTCGTACACGCGAAATTCCTTCCACCCAAGCATTCTTCATTGCTAGAGGCTATTTGTCATGAACCGAATAGTTCGTTTCGCAGGCCGGAGTTGTCGCGAGTGATACAAAACAGCTCCTTCTTGGCCCTCATCATCGTGTTGCATCAGTGCACAACTGATGGCATACTCACTTGCATCGCTGTCCACATGAAACGCTTATCGTGGTTTGCAAATGTAAAGACAGGAGCTTCTCTCGTGCTCATATATTTTTGCATATTTTGAAAGGCTTGATGAAGATTATCAGGATAAATAACGACATCCAACTTTTCACTCGCGAACAGATATATCGTCCAAGTCATTCGGTGCGAACGCTCTCAACGGGCGAAGAAGATTCGTATTCATTCTTTTGAGAGTCGCGAAAGCGTTCTTCAAATTTTTAGGCATCGCTAACCAAATCACAAGATACCACCGAGGGTATTGACTGCAGTTAGTGGTGTATCATTCTCGCGCGTTCTCTCTGATAGGACCCATCTTACAGATCTATCGCACTTAAACGAACAGTACTGCCCACTATCATCAAGGATCATACCCTTGCGTGGAACTGGAGTCCGGTCGCATCGTTCAATTTTTATTACTGCAGTGCCCATTCTCGCGCTCGACCACTGAGCTTGGAGGTAGCTAGCGTCACGCGCTGAAGCTCAGTTTGGAGTATGGCGAACGCCATAGCCATCGCGGCTTCTTTCACCCAGAGCAGGAAATTTTCTTCATCCTTGCCCTCGACTGTTTAAACGCTTACCATGAGCGGCCTGGGTCGGGAGGAGTCATCCGTCGTCGACGGTGGTATCATGGACGTAGTCAACACCAACATCATCTGCTGTAGGTGCTCTAGCAGACCATTTTCATAGCTCGTAAACGCCTCTAGGTGCGCGCTGATTGCTTCAGGTCCTTGCGACACAAGGTGTTGCACGCCCTCAGGGCCAAGCAGAGACATGTGCTTTTTAGCCCGTTCTGCATGCGCTGGGGCAAATAGGAGATCTACTCCATTCCAAAAAGAATCGGTCGTAACATAGATGTAGATTGACTAAAAGAGCTGCCAAGTGCAGCGGAGCTGCCGTAGCTATATCGCTTAGTGGAAGCTAAACTAAGGTCGATGACCTAATGTTCTATACTAGATCAGTATGAGTGTCGGGGATCGCTTCCTTGCTTACTCCAAGTGTGAGCTCAACATTAGTTCATAGTAAAATAAACTTTTCCGCTGAAAAGATCAACTGCAATTCTTTGTTTTATTTGCTGCAAAGCCGCTTATTTCTTAATCTATAGGTTCTCTCATCAAATTGTAAAACCTGATCAAAATGCATGACTACTGGCAGTCCAGCAACGTACTGACTTCTTGTTAAGGTGTAGCCACACCATCTTGTGTGATCCAGCCTTTCACACCAGGGTACGTGCAACCCCGTTACACCTAGCATCTGGATATAGCTTCACTCAAATAGCTGTTAAGTACAAAATCGTTGTGAAGGGCGACAGCCCAACGTCTGGGCGACGCAAAGCGCATCCCCAACCACATTATGTCGACTCAACATGTAGTTTATCACGAAAGCATCTGTGATAAAAAGTCTCGACATATTCTGCAAGATTTGCGGGACTACGTCACTGTGTGCAAAGGTATAGTTTGATACGATCATAAATGTCTTGAGGTGACAAGAGCATATCTCGCACCAGGAAGCTTTTTGCCATGAAGTAGATGGTTCTTTAATCCGCTATACTCTTCGAAGAACATTTCGTTCAGCTCAAGAGGAGCACCCATCGCGTAAGTAACCTCGAGAAGGACGCCGCCGTTTTCGTCATACCGTTGACAAGGGTGAATAGCTGTGTGCTATCGGCTACGGTAAATAAAACGTGGGCCAGAGTCGACGCCCTGCGTCTTGCAGATAGCATACGGCATCGCCGTTCCCTCTCTATTCGAGGTTCACGTCTCTTCGAGACCAGTAGGAATACGCACTCAGCGTCGTCCAGTGCCTCCCTCCCTGCTCTATCGGAGCCTTGATGTTATTATCAGCACCCGACGAAGAGCTGCTATTTTTGCAGTCTTCGTTTACTGGATACAGTTCCACCCCATGCGCATCAGACGGACCTTGCCTAAGATGCCTCGGACCTCGTTCGACCATGCCACTCTTGGCATGCAGCAACTGCTTCGTAACATGAGTAGTGCTCCGTTGGTTACGTGCCACTCACAAAGGCCTTGCCCTTGATGCCTCGGCCCTCGGCCGACCATACCACTCTTGGCATGCAGCGACAGCTCCAAT